GGGGGGGGGGGGGGGGGGGGGTCTTCTCCCTTTCTCAGATGCCACTCTGCATCCTTTGCGTACATCATAAGACAAAAGGTTGAGTATTTAATTCCAGAAACCTCTTAAATCATTTTTTTTTCCGATTTATTGCTTCTGTTTGATGGAAGCACACTTACTGACATCAATATCTAACATGTGTCTTTCCGAAGCTAAGACTAATACTGTAAATATATATTCCGTGTTTCACTGCTAGTGTAACTGTGCAGCCTGGTTAGAATTCCCAGTGTACTAAAATTTGTAATTTGTTTATGAAACAAACACCATGACACTGATATATATGGACATGGTCTGAGGCATTGCTAATCTTGGAAGTACTTTAATGTATAATGTTTGCCCTCTTTAAAAGCAATGATAGTGATCTAGCAAGTCAGTAACACTTAGACACGTTACTATTAACGTGAAGAGCAGAGTTCAGGTAGCTATTCATGATTCATACAGCATCAGCTGTTCGTGAACCTGGCAAATGTAGCATCTCATGCAGGAAAGCCTCAGGGCCGAGGGGGCTGGGATGGGGGGAAGCCTGCAGCCCCCCCCCCCCAGGTGCTGTGAATAAAGCTGCACACACTCGGGGAAAGCAGCGTTAATAATGACGCGCAAACAAAGCAGCGTTAATAATGACGCGCAAACAAAGCAGCGTTAATAATGACACGCTTTCCACCCTTCTGCTGACTACCTGCATTTGAGACCTTCTTGTGCTCAGCTCTTTACATGGTAGAGGATGGCAAGCAATGGCAGGGAATGGTAGAGAATGGCAGGGAATGGCAGAGAATGGCAGGGAATGGCGGGGAATAGTAGGGAATGGTAGACAAAATGTTGGGGAATGACAGAGAGCTCTCCGTGGTGTATTGAGGTCCAGCAGCTAATGATATTCCTCAGACAACAGTCATTTAAATGAAAATTTTAGTCTTGTACTTATAGGGATATTTTGCTATTAGATAAAGATCATTGAGAAGGGAGTAAATGTTATCTTTAAAATACGTATTTTATTTCTCTATTCCTTTGTTCTTCTTAACTTCTCGTTCAGTGCAATGTTGCTTTGAACCAAGGACATCCATCCAACATGAGCCATGAGGCTATATTTTATTCTTACAGCGAAAACCTGTTATAATTTATGTAATGATATTAACTTCTTTCTGTTTAAAAAACAAAAAAAACTTAAAAATAGAGGAACAGATGGAGGAACGTTCCAATTTTCATCCGAATGCTCACCCCTCCTTCAGTCACATCAGCAAAATCATGGGCTTTCAGATACCAGACAAGCTGTCGCATTTTGGTTTGTCTTCAGAAGTGTCTCATTATGTCTCATGTAATCCCTTTGAAACTGAGAACTTGCTGTAAGCATACTTTATATAATTCTCTGCTGAACTGCAACTTGCCCATGCGCATGTGCATCCATGCAGCCATCTCCCAAACACGCATGCACGCATGCGGAGCAGGGCTCAGGGGCCCAGAGACACTCTCAGGCAGAGTGGGTGACTCTGGACAGATGCTAGACCCCACCATCTATTTTAATTGATAAAATACAGGAGGAAGATAAAAAGGATTTCTGATTATAGGTATAAGAAACATGACTTATTTGCAGACACTTCATGCAGTCATGAGCAGTGTGTGGATGTTAGCAGGCAACATCAGAAATCTATCGTGGTGTTTTCTCTAAAAACAGACTGGATGGTCCCATATACAAAGAGATTTAAAGGAAAACTGGTGAAACACCAGACCTGTCACCCACTCAAAACATGTGCATCATAAAACGAAAAAATATGACAAAGGAGACCACAAGCTGTCGAGCAGCTGAAATCCCATATCAAGCAAGAATGGAGCAACATTTCGCATTATAACTCCAGCAGCTGCTCTCCTCTGTACCCAAATGTTTGCTGCTAAAAGAAGAGTTGATGCAACACAGTGATAAACACGCCCCTTCTAAGTCTTTTTAACCGTGTTGCTTGGCATCAAATTCAAATTAAGGATATAATTGTCATAAAACAATAAAATTTCCCAGTTTCAACATTTGATATGTTGTCTTTGTTCTATTTTCAATATAATATGGGTTTATATGATCTGTAAATCATTGCATTCTGTTTCTACGTACATTTTATGCAGCGCCCCAACCCTTTTGGAAACAGGGTTGTAATGTTGACTGTTGTAAACAATGGTGCATGTCAAGGTCTAGGATATATTGGATAGTGAGCTAATATTTAGTCCTCACTGTTGACGTGTTGAATGCTAAAGAAATGGGCAGGAATAAAGATCTGAGTGACTTTGATAAGGGCCAGATCATTATGGCCAGCGGACTGGGTCAGAGCATCTCCGAAGGCTTGTGGGAAGATCACGGTCAGGCATAGGTCAGAAGGTGAGAAATACCATTAAGACGGTCGGGGCGTTGGGCGGCCAGGACTCGTCAATGCGAGATGTCTAACACGTCAAGCGGTGAACTGCAGCTAAAGTCGCAATAATGCTCAGAGTTCTCCGTGTCTGAAAGGTTACAGGGGAGGTACTCTGAGTATCTCTGAGAGTACTGGATGGGACAAGGCTGATGCGCCTCTTCGCTGCTGAAAGGAGGGCAGGTTGAGTATCTGTGTAGAAAACAGAGTTGGGGTCTCTATTTTTAAAAATGTGGCAGCTAGATGGTTGCACTTCTAAACTTCCTGGGAAAGTCCGTGTACTGCGGGAGACGCCACATGACATTCAAAGCTGGGATTCAAAACGCAGAAGACAGATTACAGCATGGTCTCCAAACAGCAGGCCGCTGAATGTGTGAGGGTTGGTGGCAATATGCTAACATTTCTGCATGTGATTTGTGGATTTGGAAAATGATGCAGTCAGATGCCCTAAGATGTACTTTGGAAGAAGCAGCGGGAATGCAGACTACTGCCGTGTAATATTCAGCGCCCGTACTGTCCCGTCTCCACTCTGGGTTTTAATTATGATGTATAAGATATTAAGGTGCAGTTGTGTCTGGAAGGTCTTTGGGATTTTTGGGCTGATATTTGCAGATGATACTGTTCTTTCAGCCTAGTGGTTTATCGATTAATCTACGTCTCTCTCATCACCTCCAGCACCACTGTGGCCAAAATGAAGTTTCTGTACAAGGCTGCTAGGCAGCCATGACCTTGTTAGGAGATTTGAAGGGAACTGAAAATAGCAGCTGTTCCTTTGGATCATAAAGAAGACAGTTAGGGTGTTTTGGGCATCTAGTATGGATGCTACCTGATCAGCTTTCAG